TTGAGCCTCTAATGTAAAGAAAATATCATTAAAGAGCCACAGAATACTATCTATAAGCGGTGCTCAATTTAAAAAAATGTGAGAGTCCCTTTGGTCTAATGCAACAATCCCTTTTCCCCTCCAGTCTTCATTTGACAGATGAGGAAAGGAAGATTGCAGGAGGTTAAGTGACTTAGGGATCATATGACTTGTCCAAGGTCATCCAGTGGTAGGAGCAGTAGACATATTTCTGACAGCTGACTTCCAGGACAAAAGAAGATGTCTTGAAGTTATGAGATGTTGAGGTTATGGGAAAGTGGCAAAGGGGTTTCCTACAGACTCAAACTGTATCTATTCTATTGGACTCACTTAGCACTGGCCGTCAACATGCCAACCTCCCTTCAACAGAGCAGGAAGGATGTAACCAAATAGATAAGAAACCAGTAGATTACTGGTTAACCTTCACCCGTGCAAATCCTTAGAATTTGACCCTCCATACTCAGACTCAATGTGTTGTCAGGTACCTGAGACACCTACATCCTCAGACAAAAGTCACATTCATAGACAGAGAAAGAGAGAGAGTGAGGAGAGAGAAACAGACAGACTGAGAGATGGTAGGTTGGGCATTTATTAAATGCTTAGTATGTGCCAGGCACTTTATGAAAGCAATTGGATACTGAGATATTGTCCCTCCTTCCAGATTTTAAAGATCCAGGCTCCAGAGCAAAGATTTCAGAAAACTCTTTCCCTCCTCAGCCCATCCCTATTTCTTTTGTCATTTTAAAGGCAGTTCCATAATAGAGGGGAGGGGCTCCTCCCTGCCTCTTTCTGTGGGTTCCTTGCTATGAAAGGATTCATTTGACTCTATACCCCTGACTGTCTCTTTTCTTTCTCCCCAAAGCACCAACTACTTCCTTTTCAAACAATCACAAAATTAAAAGGAACCTGAGTCCATCTAGTCTGGGTGATAACATGAGGTCCACAGACCTTCAAGGGGTCCATGAATACATTTCAGGGGGGTCTATGGACTTGGATGGGGAAAATACATCTTTATTTCAACATAGTTGGTTTTCTGTTATGTACTATGCATTTTATTTTATTGCATTAAATTTTTTTTTTTGAGGAGTCTACAGGCTTTACCAGACTGCCTGAGGAGTCCACTATACAACAAAAGTTAAGAACTCCTGATTCAACCTTTTACCAAACAAGAAATCTCTAGTGCTTCCAGTGGAAAGAATACAGTATCTGGAGCCAGAGGACCTGGAGTGAATCTCAGTTCTGGCACTTAATGTGCAGCCTTTGTTGGACCAGTCATTTAACATTTCTTTGACTCAGTTTCCTCTCATGTAAAATGAGGGGACTGGACTAGATGATCCCCAAGGTCCCTCCCAGCTCCTAAGGCACCAACCCCTGGTCCCCTGCAATGCTCCAGGGGAGCGCATCTGTGTTAGCTCGTTCCCCGAGCCTCTGTTCGCACGTGTTTTAAATAGGGCCGTCTAGGGTTGCCTTTTCTGCTGGGTGGATGGAAAAAAACTGACCTATGGAGGTTAGAGAGAAATGAGAAAATTGAGCTACTGAGGTTAGAAGCCGAAATTCTGGGCTCCTCTTCAATAAACAAAGCAACGGGGAGATCTAGTGGTGAAGCCCAAACCCGGGCAGCGCTGGATGCAGGTGAGAAAACAATGGGGCTTGGAGGATCACAACTGTTGAACCAAGCAACAGGTCAGAGGCTCTTTGTGTGGGGGATGCTGACCCCTGCTGGCCTCTTGGAAGGTTGCAGTGCTTGCGTAGTAGCAAGAAGTGTGGGCTTGGACAGGGAAGGAGGGAAGGAAGGAAGGGGAAAGGAGGGGAAGGAAAGAAGAGGGAGGGAAGGAAAAGAGAAGGAAGGAAGGAGGGAAGGGGGGAGGGAAGAAGGGGAAGTATGTATTGAGCATCTACTATGTGCTGGCCATTGTTGCTAAGTGCTTTAAAAATGCTATCTCATCTGATCCTTACCACAGCCCTGAGAAATAGGTAGATGCCCTTTTATCCTCATTTTATAATTAAGGAAATTAAGGCAGAGGTTAAATGACTTACCTGCTTGCCCAGGGTCACATATCTAATAAGCATCACATACCTAATAAACATCTGTTGTTGAGTCGTTTTCAATTGTGTCTGATTCTTTATTGGCCCCATTTGGGGTTTTCTTGGCAGAGATACTAGAGTGGTTTGCCATTTCCTCCTCCAGCTCATTTGACAGATGAGAAAACTAAGGCAAACTGGGTTAAATGATTTGTCCAAGGTCACATAGCTAGTAAGTAACTGATGAGAAAACTAAGGCAAACTGGGTTAAATGATTTGTCCAAGGTCACATAGCCAGTAAGTAACTGAGGCTGAGTTTGAACTCAGGACTCCCTAACTCCAGGTCCAGAGCTCTATACACTACACAGAAAAGTTGCCTCCAGTAGTTTGAGGGAGGGGATTGTTTCCTGATAGATGCGATGATTTAAATCCCTAAAAGGAGGCCAATAAGAATATTCAAGGGGGCAGCTAGGTGGCACAGTGGCTAAAGCTCTGGCCTTGGAGTCAGGAGGCCTGAGTTCAAATCCGGCTTCAGACACTTGACACTTACCAGCTGTGTGACCCTGGGCAAGTCACTTTACCCTGATTGCCTTACCAGAAAGCAAAAACAAACAAACAAACAAAACCCAGAATATTCAAAGACTAAGCCCTGGCTAAGAAGTAGGGGCAGACAGCAGGTAGCTAGAGCTAAAGTCACGTACAGCCAACCCCTGGAAGCTCCAAAGGAACTGGATCCTGATTTAGATCATGACAGATGCCCAACTAGCCATAAAAGCAGTCAAGGAGATTGAAGGAGCCCTGGGCTGGGAGAAGACTTGGATTTTTGTCCTGTTGGGCCATTTTGTAGACGCCCTTGGACAAGTCACAAACCCGAGGCCTGTTTCCTCATTTGTAAAATGAAGGTGCTGGATTAGCTGAGATCTAAATTCCCTTCCAACTCTCAGATTCCACAGGAGTGCTTACCCTCTTTCATGCCACACACCCCTTTGGCAGTCCGGCAATGCCTACGGATCTCTTCTCAGAGTAATCGTTATGATCGTGTAAAATAAAATGCATGGGATCACAAAGGAAATCAATTGTACTGAAATAAAGTTATGCAAATATTTAAAAACCAAGCCCTCAGACCCCAGGTTCCCAGTCATGGGTTGAAGGCAGAGTAGAGGTGAATGGGAGTGCAGCAAGACAGAAAGAAAAGAAAAGACATGCACTTCCCAGGGTGATGAGTGAGAAATTGTCCCTGGCCTGTGGCCTCATCATCATAGGATTAGCAGATCTGAACTTCCCTTCTTGGCTTGTCAGGCGCTAGTTTCTACATAGAATTCTTTAATGATAGAAAGTTTGGCTGTCCACCTGAACCCTTCAACAACAGAAGGGTCCACCCCACTGGCAAAGTTTGCCTCTCGTTCCCTCCCCCCACATCTCTCCATCAATGTCCCTCTTCTCTGGACTACCACTTTTTTTCTTAGATGTCAACCAAAGCACTGATTAGGCTTGACATTTGACTGTTGAATGGAGGAAGACTACTCCTGAAAAGGTTTCAAAGACTCAGAGAAATTAAATCCTGATAAGTAGTTAGTATGGTTAATGACAGTGGGATAATTTTCCATGCCACTCACCCACCCCCCAACACTGCCCTTCACAGGCAATGACTGGTTACTTTGAGTGCTTTAGAGAGCTCACCTGTGCACCTGTAAGCACCTTCCTTCCCCCAGGGAAATAGAGCCCTCTTCTATCTGCTTCCTACCACTGACCATATAACTGACCTCTTAAAGACTTTAGCTTGAAAAGGCCAAGGTCCCCCACTGCATCCTGGGCCATCTCCAGTGGTCCTGATCTATATCTGGCCACTGGACTCAGATGGCTCCAGAGGAGAAAGTGAGGCTGGTGACTTTGCACAGCCCTGACTCACTTAAATCTAATTCACTCGCACATCATGGCATCACCTTCCTGATGTCATGGTCCTCTTCGAGAATGAAGGACAAACAGCAACAACTGATGACAAATGCCCGTCTTGACCCAAGGCTCCTCAGTCTCCTCTTCTGATACCACCCTGGATGTGAGTGGAACATGACGGTGAAGTGGCATGTGAAGAGAAGCTAAGCCTTACATTGCCCTTCAGCCATGTTAGTCTTATTTTAGAACTTGTGGTATGTGTCTCTGGTCAGAAGAGCCCTCTATAATTGACACTTTAAGGGTTCTTTCACCAGGCTACTGGAGTGATTTCTTCAGAAGGGTGGCATTTAGGAGTTATCTAACATACAGGAGAGGAGAAAGGAAGGAAAGGGAAAGAAAAGTATCTCAAAAATCAGTTATTGGCCTCTTCTGCTTTGTGTCTTTGAAAATCTTGTGCACGCTAACACTGCTGGAGCTGGGCAATGAGGAGTGGACTCCCATTTCTTCTTGTGTACCTTCTTCTAGAAGCACACATTAGTGTTGCCCATGTTTTCTCTTCAGCCTTCTTCTTCCCCCCTCTCCCCTGCCCTGGGGGGAAAAAATCTAAATTCTTCCCATCCTCAAGGGCTCCAGATAACTTTGATTTTCTGTGAAGCTCCCCACTGGACACAACCAGGATCACTCACTTTCACCCTTGCTTTATAAAGGAGAGAGAAACAACTATCAGTGTTTAAGTTCACCCAGAGCCAGGATGGGTCTAAGAGCAGGTCTTCTTCTGTATCCTGCACACTGCCTTAAGTGCTTATGATGCCCCTTAGATTATAGAGTGCCTCTTTATTTTCCCCTCTCAGCAGCATGCACAAATATTCTCTGTGCCTACATTGCAACCTGATAAAGGATGTTGTATAGTTTTAGAGGAAAAAATTTTTTTTCCCCAAACAAAAGTCTATTTTATTTGGAGATCAGCTTACAAGTAAACCACCATATCAGACAAAGCAACTTCTCTGAACGGGTAGCCATAGTATTGATAAAAAACAAACAAAAACAATTAACAGTACAGTGCTTAGCTATGTGCTCTTGAGAGGGAATTTAAAACAATTTCTACAAATATAATACACATATTTGTAACTTCACAAAAAAGATGGTAGGTACAAGGAGAGAATTATTTTTGAATACCAAGTCTTCTAGTTCCCCAGACCCAGGGCCGGGGGGAGGGTGGGTTAGGATTTAATTCTTCATATAAAAATACACTATGGTCAAATGGGAGTTTCCAAACTGTGCTAAATTAACAGCACTTTAACTTGGGTATCCTTAAAAGTCACAGGACTCATTCATCAGCTTTGGAAATAGGTATGTGTCCCCTCCATTTCCTGGATCCCTGGGTGCTTCCTGCAGACTTCAGTCAGATGGCACAAAAATGTCCAGGTCATTAGCTTTGTGCTTCTGCTCATTACAGGAATTAGTGTAAAAGTCTTGATGCTAAGATACAAATGTAAATTCCTCCACCTATAGAGGCTAGAATCTAGAGCCAAGAAGTATAATTCAGGTAGGAAGGAACAAGAAAGACAAATGGATTACAATCAGAAATTCTCTCCTTTTAAGTTACTGGAAGGATACACCCACCCCCATCCACCCTAAAATGTGCAGTGTCTTTTTGTTGTCCCAGAGAAAAATTGACAGAAAAATCACCTTCTCCTGCATCTGACTCAACAGGAGATCAGAGCGACAACAGATAAATATTCCTTAAATCATTATTTGAGATATTCAGACTGTTCCATACACACATGGTAGTCTTTGTAAGATATTTGTTACAGGGAGCCATCTATGATTCTGGCTGGGGACTTAGGCTGATAGGGATTATAGAGGGAGCATTTGTTGAACTTCCTCGAGGTGAGGTTTGGTTTGGATCAGTGGTAATGTAGACAAACCCTCCAGGGACATTGTCTCCTGAAGGCAAAAATCCCTCTTTTCTTAGGTTGTTCTGGTTGCCAGCCACACAAAACCTATTATCAGCACGAGGAGGACGGTGGTAAAGACAGTAACAGTGATGAGAAGATCCAGATAATTGAAAGAAAATCCAACTCCTGAAAGAGGGAAGAAAATGATTGTTTTGTCTTATCTAATTTTGATTTCAAAGTACATTTTTAATTCCTTGGATATCAGTTGTACACAATTCAACAGGTAAGAGAAATAGTTAAAGTGACTAGCCACATACTTGAGTTTTCCAGGCCTCAGATCTTAGTTAAGGAGGGAATTAGAGAATAAGATTTGGTTTTCCTTTGCTAAGACCCAGGGGTCAGCTGATTACTGGCTTCTCCCTAAAAGTCAAAGCAAAAAGACAAAAGGTAGGGACTAATCCCTGGCTTCTAGTAGTGATGAAATGGTCTTTTTCAAGATGGCTTTTGGCCAGGGCCACACAGTAACGTGATATCTAGGTAAGTCACTCGCACAGTTTCTGGTTCAGAGCCTAAACCACAATGGTCAATAACAAATGGAAGCTATTATCTCCCTCACCAAGAAGTCTGGCCTTCACTTCATCATCACAATGGCATCTGAAACAACTTATTAAACCTTGACCTAGGTGACTGCTAAAGCTCAGCTTCTATGTCCATCCCTCTAGAATAGAGACTTCTGGAGGGAGGGACTATTTCTTTTATATCTTTGCACTTCCAGTTCCTAACTTATATACTAGACACTTAATACGTACTTTTTGATCCATTGATTCAAGATTCTGCTCTTGATGTTTGCTTATGTATGGCACCTTAATTTCTTGGATGACTAGATTACGTTTCTACCTGAGGGGTGCCATCCAACATTAGCTTTGATAGTTCATATTTGGAGAGGACATGTCTAGTTATCAGGGGTTAAAATGATAATCCTTCGTAGAGAGATGTATAGCAGGTGGTGAACAGCATAATGTTCAAGTTAACAAATGCTTTCATGAACTCTCACTAAAATCAAGATTATGATTCCCTATGGACATACTCTAAATCTGGGTTTCTAAGTTAGAGATCTCATTGGGGTGGACAGAATGAAATCTCTCATAAGCAACATGGCAGATGAAAGGCATGGCTAAACTAATTAGATCAATCATTAGCTTGTAAAATATTCCAACTTAGACTGACTCAGGTCCATAATAACCATGCTTCAGAGAAATTCAGAGAAAGTTGCTTATTACTCAGAGTTCCCTCTGGCCTGTGCTGCTACGGCCATAAGAACATCAGAGCTATGTGAAAACCATAAACTCAATTTTCAAAATGGAGGGGAATGATGGAAAATTACTGGCATTGTTGTCTCCCTAAACCGTGCAGTATGGAGGTGAAAGAATTTATAGAAAGCCTGGCTCAGAACCAACTATGATCCCATGAGCACTTAAGGATAAAGCCAGAAGTAGAACAAACAAAAGAGAAATGAAACAGATTTGTCAGCATTTATATTACAAAGTACTTTTATGATAAGCAGCAACACCGGATATTGGGATCTTGGGGCATTGGGAGCCAGAAAATGTGGGTCCAATACTGACTCTGCTGTTGACTATCTATTGTGACCTTAGAGAAGTTTGCCTTT